TAAGCTGGGGACTCCCGGCGCCTGTTCGTGAATGATGTCCCTCCGCAGCCGCCGTAGCCCAGCCGGAAGTGCCACCTGCCACGTTCACCGTGCGGCAGGGGAGGGACTGGGAGCCAGAAGCTCGGCATGGCTGACGACGTGGGCCTAGAGACCCAACTGTGTTCCGAGCAGTTCGGGTCTGGGGAGGCACGGGGCTGCCGGGCCGCCGCGGATGGGAGCCTGCAGTGGGAGGTCGGGGGCTGGCGCTGGTGGGGGCTCTCCAGGGCCTTCACGGTCAAACCCGAAAGACGAGATGCGGGCGAAGTGGGGGCTCCCAGGGCCGCCTCACCACCCCTCTCCGGGCTCCAGGCCGTGTTCCTGCCGCAGGGCTTCCCTGATAGCGTCAGCCCGGACTATTTGCCCTACCAACTGTGGGATTCCGTGCAGGTCAGCTCGGTCGTCTGGGGCAGGGGACAGTGCAGGCCACCCCTCCCTCCCCAGTTATGGACGGGTGACTGAGGCCCGGAGCCGAGCGGGCGGGATCTGACATGCCCCGTACAACAAGAACAAGAACAGATGACGGCACTTAGACCGCCACGCTTCTGCGCCCGCTTCTCACCCTACTCGTTTTCTTCTCCAGGCGTTTGCTTCCAGCCTCTCCGGCTCCCTGGCCACCCAGGCAGTCTTGCTGGGCATAGGGGTGGGGAACGCAAAAGCCACTGTTTCAGCTGCCACGGCCACCTGGCTCGTGAAAGGTGAGCTGCACCCCCGGAGCCCCACGTATTGCTGCTCTCAGCCCTGCCTTCGCTGGGCTCTTATGTGTATATATGTATGGACTCGTGCCCCATTAGGTAGAATTCAGGCAGGTCTCCCCATTGATTAGAGCGGTGCTTTGTAACCGAGTCTTACTGCCGACATCTGGAAGACCCTCATCCCACTCACCAACTTGGCAGCCGCACTCCATTCCCCACACAGACTTCTGGGTCTAAATCATCTGGATCCCAAATCCCGTCCCCTCCCCTTTATCCCTATTCTCTTTGTGGAAGATTGCATGAGAATGCGATTGATTGAATAAAACTGCCCGCTGCCCAGGATAGGGGAAATTGGTGAGCTCCAAAAAATATATATATATAATTAGTCCTGAGTAGAAGGGAGGAGAGCCTGGAAAGAATGGAAGGTATTGTGTATGCTCTGGGATACCAGATGATGCTGTAAATAATAGAGTGACTATCTGCTGAGTGTGTACAGCTTTTAAAAAATTGTTTAAGGAAAGAAAAAAAAGATACAGTTTGGTACCATGCCACCCAGAGAGGGAAATAGAACAGAAAAGGGAAATTGTTACATGTTCTACAGGAGGAGGCCCCATGGCTTTTGCCACTGTCCTTTGTCTTTCACTACTGCTCCCAGGGGATATTAGGCTGGTGTAAAAGTAATTGCGGGATTTCTTTGTTGTCGTTGCCATTAAAGGTAATGGAAAACCCGCAATTACGTTTGCACCAACCTGATACATCAGCTCTAAGGGAAAGCTCATTCCGTTAGTAGAATCAGTCTGGCCACATCCCTTGTGAGCCTCTCTGGATTTTTTTTGAGAAACAGGAGCCTCTTGTTTACACCTTTACCATTAAGACTGAGAAAACTGGGCCGGGCGCGGTGGCTCACAACGGTTTTAATCCTAGCGCTTTGGGAGGCCGAGGCAGCCGGGGCAACATAGGGAGACCCCCATTTCTATTTTTTTTTTAGACTCGTAGTCTCACTGTCTGGAATGCAGAACTGCAGTGGCACAATCTCAGCTCACTGCAGCCTCTGCCTCCCAGGTTCAAGCGATTCTCCTGCCTCAGCCTGGCAAGTAGCTGGGATTACAGGCATGTGCCACCCTGCCCCACTAATTTTTTGTATTTTTAGTACAGAGTTTCACCACGTTGGCCAGGGTGGTCTCGAACTCCTGACCTTGGGTGATCCATACACCTCAACTTCCCAAAGTGCTGGGATTATAGGCGTGAGCCACTGCACCCGGCTTATTGGCCGTATTTTTGGAATGCATTTGGAGCTTGGGTCAGTAGTTGCTGTTTTCATGTGATATTACCAGCGTGTTGCCTATACAGATTGAATATGCCTTATCCAAAATGCTTGCAACCAGAAGTGTTTTGGATTTCAGGAGTTTTTTTTGGATTTTGGAATATTTTCATGTATATAATGAGATTTGTTGGGGATGAGACTCAAGTCTAAACATGAAATTCGTTTATGTTTCATATATACTTTATACACATACCTTAAAGGCAGTTTTATACAGTATTTTCAATAGTGTGATTGAAACAAAGTTTGTGTTCATTGATCCATCAGAAAGCAAAGATGTCACTGTCCCAGCCACACATGTGGACAATCTGGTTGGTTGACGTCCCCATCATTCCTGACTCTGAATGCATATGCTATCAAGAAGCAGTCATTTTCTTATACCTATTCACACATAAGTACTTGACAGTATAAAACGTGATACACCACTAATACAGTGAGAAATTGTGTGTTCAGGGTAACTAAGCAGCACAGCAGGTCACCAGAACACCTGTATCAGCTTCTGAACCACAGCAGCAGCAACAAAAACAGCAGGCTGTCAGTCTTCAGCTGTTTTGATGGAAAGGTTACTGGACACCATATTTTATTTTTTTAAGGTGAGAAGAAACAGAAGCGGTTGAAGGACAGGAAGCGGGTCTTCTAGGGATGAGGAAGTGTTCTGCTGGGTGGCTTTTTAAAATGTTTCCTCCAGAGTCATTTGCCTCATTAACTGTGGTTTCTATCTTAGAAGTCTCTCTTGGATTCTATAAACTGCCTGATTTCTTGTTCTATTATGAATATATGCCG